TTTGTCGAAGGTTCCAGTCAGTCGATAGAACTTGAACTGATCTGCTCTATAGACCAGATAGGGTACGCGTCCACAAACACTCGACAGTATCAGCGCCGCGGTGAATTTTAACTAGCTGAGAGCATCTTTTAAGATATTTCTCAAAAGCTAGGACTGTCAAGGGCTGGACCTTAGAAGGAATATGATGAAATGTAATGGGAGGCGATTGCGATTGTGGACGTATACGAGGTCTCTTCCACAAACTGCATACTTACCATACTATAACGTCTTGTTCAAGGTTTTACAGAACCCGGAAAGGTTCATAAGTTCTCCATTCATCTGCTCCTTAGACATGAAAGGGCATACAAAAACCTTCTTAGCCATTTCCCATTCAGATTGACTGGTTTGACGAATCCTTCCCTTTTTGTTACGAAAACAATTTTCTGTTTGCAAAAACAGATTTGCGGATTCTCCTAACCTGTGGAAAGGTGCAAAAAGACAGATGCTGCTTTGCATAAGGTAAAGTGAACTAGCAAGGAAAAAAGCAAGTGCTTTGACCTAGTTATTGTGCTATTACTCAACTCTGAGAAAATCTTGGAAAGGGAAGCGAAATGAGTAAAAAAGACATGCGTGTACACCTTTCGGAAATGCATGAAAATTAAAAAAAGGTACAGCTTTTACCCTCATATGCTTTTAAAGATTCTTATTTCTTAGAGAATGTTGCGCATTTTTGAGCCGAATTCGTTAACTGCTCATGCCATACTCGCATAAAAATACGGGTCCGTGTTTTAGAAGCAGCGCGAAAGGCAGACAATTCAGAGGTTCAGGAATCCTCATATTTTTCCTTTGCTTCCCCTTCCAAGAACAATTTTGGCTTGCCCTCCGGAGAGCTGCTGCTGAGCCCAACACCGAGTCAAACACAGCAAATTTTTTTTTGTAAAATTAACAATAATTGTATTATTTGTATTTTTCTATTCCGTTACTATTAATAAATATAATAACTTGTACCAGTGAGACAAAATATGTTAATATCAACTATCAAAATATGTTAATATCAATTAATTTCTCTGCTAAACTTCATAAAGAGCCGTAAGGCAGAAAGCGACTCACTGCATAATAGCGTCTGTGGTAGTGGAGTCCGTGGCAGTATGAAATGTAACTGCATCAGGACTACAGGTAGCACATTCTAAATTATACCACTATAATACTGGAACAATTTTCAACAATAAGGTTAATTTTAGCAGCTATCTCCAGCCACTAGTTCTTACATCCACTAAACCTTATCACATACCTGTTGTAGATGGTTTTGTGGTGCTACAATAAACATCGGTAACAGCACTGAAACTTGTCTATTTAGAATCATTGCGAGTTTGTGATTTCATGGCACTTACAGCGCTGTAGTTCCATCGCTAAAGTACCATTTTTGATCAGCTCGACAAACCAGTGTCGCAGTTACCGTTGGAGCTACTGCTGGTCCTGCTAAACCCTCTTGGAACTGAAAAGGTAGTTAGGCCTATAGAGCAAATATTGAACCGAATAATTACCTCCATGAAAGCATTATCCGTAGGTGAGCCGGATTCGCACACTGCATTCATTCGCAGACAACCCTGAGCATTTTTCG